CTAGGAAGTGATGTGGTGGAGGCTGACTCCATACACAGTTTCAAGTGTAGATATGACAGAGCCCGATAGGCTCATGAATCTGTTCACCTGTTGATTGACGGTTGAGAGGCGGGACCAAAGAGCCAGAGCTCAACCCCCGCAAACACAACTAGGTGAACTAGGTGAGTACACACACACACGTCAGCAAGGTGTGGGACATAAGAGTTAAGCAGCAGCAGGAGGTGTCTGGCCCTCTGTAACAAGGAGTTACCTGTACCTGGTCGTTACCAGTTGCTGATGGCGGTAATTACTGCTGCTCTCACCCATGAGAAGGACCCACAGGGGACATGACTGTTGGTTTGTTGTGTGGACCATGAGGACCATGGTCTACTGCTAGTTGTGTGGACCATGGTCTACTAGTAGTTTGTTGTGTGGACCATGGTCTACTAGTAGTTTGTTGTGTGGACTATGAGGACCATGGTCTACTGGTAGTTGTGTGGACCATGGTCTACTGCTAGTTGTGTGGACCATGGTCTACTGATAGTTGTGTGGCTCCAGGTCTGCGAGGACGTGGTTGTGGGCCAGGGGAGGGAGGGATACCAGTCACATGTGGATGAGCACATGTGGAAGAGTACATGTGCATGAATACCGTTGACCTAATCCCGTGAAATACCACCCACCATCTCCCTTTGCACCTCTACACATAATTTATTGCTAATGTTTAATTTAAAATTAATAAAAACTAAATTCGGTTTTCTGAATAGTAAAAGTCATGTGTATCATTGGCGAGCAAATAATTAGATTTTCCAAGTGGGTGGTAAAACGGGTGAAGACGAAGAAATCGAAGAAGAAGAAGACAAAACAAGACCCCAAGGCGCAGGACCAGGAGCCCCTACCCCAGGTGAATGAGCAGAACCCCGAGCAACCCCGTGACGAAGCCCCCGGAGACGAAGCCCCCGGAGACGAAGCCCCCCGTGACGAAGCCCCCCGTAACAAAACCCCCCGGAACAAATCTATCCGAGACGAAGCAGCCCAGGACGGCATCGTGTCCCCACATCACGGTGTGAAGAGTCCTGCTCCCCAGCTCCCACGGAAGCATGACCACGAAGTGCCCTGTGACGAAGCAGTCCAGGACGGCATCAGCTCCCCACAACACTGTGAGTGGGGCCATGCTCACCGGCTCCAACGGGAGCAAAACCACGAAGCCCACCGTGACGAAGCCCACCGTGACGAAGCCCACCGTGACGAAGCCCCCCGTGACAAAGCAGTCCAGGACGGCATCAGGACCCACTCTCACGGTTGGAGGCTCCCTGCTCACCGGCTCTATCGGGAACAGGTGCGCGAACAACGTGAAATGGCGGTCCAGAACCGCACCGTGTTCCCACATCACAGTGTGATGACCACCCCCTCGGGGACATGGAACACCCCCTCGGGAACATGGAAACCCCCCTCGGGAATGGGGAACGGGTCATCTGGCTCGAGATACGAGCCGCTTGGTCCCGGAATGAATTTCCATCTCCACCAAATCAACCGGCCAGCGCCCCCACCACCCGGTCCAGACCTCATAGGGGGAATGAAGGTGACGCTGACGGGCGTGAAGGATTGCCTGGTGGGCGTGAAAGAGGCGCTGGTCGCCACTGATGCGCTCGACGTCATGAAGGGTTCAATGGTGGGCGTGAAAGAGGCGCTGGTCGCCACTGATGCGCTCGGCGTCATGAAGGGTTCAATGGTGGGCGTGAAAGAGGCGCTGGTCGCCACTGATGCGCTCGGCGTCATGAAGGGTTCAATGGTGGGCATGAAAGAGGCGCTGGTCGCCACTGATGCGCTCGGCGTCATGAAGGGTTCAATGGTGGGCATGAAAGAGGCGCTGGTCGCCACTGATGCGCTCGGCGTCATGAAGGGTTCAATGGTGGGCATGAAAGACTCGATGGTAGGGATGAAGAAGGCACTGGTCGGTACAGATGCGCTGGGCGTCATGAAGGATTCTGTGATTGGAATGAAAGAGGCGCTGGTCGGTAAGGATGCGCTGGTTGGTATAAAGGAGTCCCTGGCAGGGGTGACACAGGCCCTACCGGAGATTGTAGAGCGAATAACCTACTCTGATCAAATATTAGACTTAAAGAAAAAAGTCGACTACTTGAAATACAGCCTAGCGGACATGGCAGACACTCTGCCCGTAATAAACGACACCGTGTCGCAGACCGTGTCTGCGGCCATGTGGGACGCTGAGGACACGGTCAAATCCAGACTTAAGAATACTCTGAAGTCTCACAATGATTGATCCTGCGGTGTCTAGAGTCGCCCTCCTGCGGTGTCTAGAGTCGCGCTCCTGCGGTGTCTAGAGTCGCGCTCCTGCGGTGTCTAGAGTCGCGCTCCTGCGGTGTCTAGAGTCGCGCTCCTGCGGTGTCTAGAGTCGCGCTCCTGCGGTGTCTAGAGTCGCTCTCCTGCGACTGCTGGAACCGCGCTCCTGCGACTGCTGGAACCGCGCTCCTGCGACTGCTGGAACCGCGCTCCTGCGACTGCTGGAACCGCGCTCCTGCGACTGCTGGAACCGCGCTCCTGCGGCTGCTGGAACTGCGCTCCTGCGACTGATAGAACTGCTAGAACTGCGACCGCCGCCAATACATTATTTTTCTTTCTTTGTACTTCTAAAGTCTTTCCCTTCTGTTAGTACTTGTTTGTCTGTCGGTCTCTCTCTCTTTCTTTCTCATTCTGTTTCTCTCCAGGGGCCTGGTGGATAGCGCGCAGGACTCGTAATTCAGTGGCTCGGGTTCGATTCCCGCATGAGGCAGAAACAAATGGGCAAAGTTTCTTTCACCCTGAATGCCCCTGTTACCTAGCAGTAAATAGGTACCTGGGAGTTAGTCAGCTGTCACGGGCTGCTTCCTGGGGGTGGAGGCCTGGTCGAGGACCGGGCCGCGGGGACACTAAAGCCCCGAAATCATCTCAAGATACCCTCAAGATAACCTCCATCTCTTTCTGGTCCAACCACTTGGGCTGGTTGCTTGTTTCTGTTTTACTTGGGCGGAGTATGAGTATTTATGACTCGTATGGTCGCTTCAGTAAGATTTTGCCATATGTGTTTAACAACTTCTTCTGCTCTGTTGAATCTAAGTTGAAATCTTAATGGGTTTGTAACTGTGCACTGTGTTAGATAATATTCCAGTGGTCTGTTGTGGTTGTAACTGTGCACTGTGTTAGATAATGTTCCTGTGGTCTGTCGGGCATTTCTCCACAGTGCATCCTTGTCCAGATCCAGTCCATGGGCTATAAAAGTCGTAATGGCTTGGTGTTTTCCCCTGATAGTTCACGTCAATTAGTTCCCTCTCTCTCTTTCTGTCTGTCTCTCTCTCTTGGTCTCTCCTTCTCTCTGTGCTGCGAATGTGTGAATGTGTGTCTACATGAGGCAAATGTGTGTGTGTGTGTGTACTCACCTAGTTGTGCTTGCGAGGGTTGAGCTTTGGCTCTTTGGTCCCGCCTCTCAACTGTCATTCAACTGGTGTAAGATTCCTGAGCCTACTGGGCTCTATAATATCTATGGTGGTTTTGAATCTAAATTTGAAAGTTTTGAATCTAAATTTGAAAGTTTTGAATCTAAATTATGAACTGCATAATCTAAATTTGAAAGGCCAAATTTAGATTATGCATTTCAGTTTGGGTCGCCGTACGATAGAATGGATATAAATTCCCTTGAACGTGCCCAGCGTAGGATGACTAAGTTAATTCCCCAAATTAGAAATATTTTTACTCCACATAATAAATTCAAATTCAGACCAAAAAATTCCCGCCAAAATTTCCCCCCCACCCCCACCCCCCCATGTTTCTCTTTTTGTACCTTGAGAAATTCGCGGAAATTTTATTAGAGGAATTTTCTAATTAAATTCTGAAGTTTCTTTAGTCGTTGAAAAGTTACAGAGAAGTCAGGATTTGTCGAGAAACGTGTCTGGTGTTTAACTGGATTTATTTTACATATTCCAGAGCATTGTGCCACAGTTTCTGGAAAATGAACGGAAGGAGCTGCCAAGATGTTGATAGATCTAGCGGTCCAGGACCCACGGAGATCTGGAATAGATGTTAAACTAGTGGCAATATAGTCGAACTATCAGGATACAGACAAGTACACACCCAGGCACCTACCCAAACGCACACATACACACACATGAAGATAGATGGAGACTACAGGACAACCTGGACAAATTGGTGAAATGGTCTACAAAATGGCTACTAAAGTTCAACTCAGGAAAGTGTACATTAATAAAATTAGGCGAAGGGAGCAGGAGACTGAACACAAGGCACCATTTGGGAGGTGAAATCCTGCAAGAGTCAAATAGAGAGAACGATCTGGGGGTTAATATCACACCAAACCTCTCCCCAGAGGTCCATATCACAAGGATATCATCAGCGGCATATGCTAGATTGGCCAACATAAGAACTGACTTTAGTAACGTGTGTAAGGAATCGTTCAGGACCTTGTATATCACCTATGTCAGACCAATTCTGGAATATGCAGCTCCATCCTGGAGTCCATACCTAATTAAACACAAGACAAAGTTAGTGAAGATTCAGAGGAATGCCACCAGGCTCGTCCTGGAACTGAGAGGTATGAGCTACGAGGAAAGGTTAAGAGAGCTGAACCTCACGTCCCTGGAAAACAGAATATGTACACCGGTTAATTGACTGTTGAAAGGCGGGAACCAAAGAGCAGAACTCAACCCCTGCAAGCATAACTTTACCATGGTCTACTGCTAGTTGTGTGGACCATGGTCCACACATCTTAAATTCTCTCCTATATTCTACCTCTCTTTTTTCTTCTCCCTCTCTTCTCTCTCTTCAATCTTCTCTTTGTTTTCTCTTTATATTTCTTTCTCATTCTGTCTCTCTCCCTTTGTTTTCTGTCTCTCTCCCTTTGTTTCTCTCTCTCTCTCTCTCTCTCTCTCTCTCTCTCTCTCTCTCTCTCTCTCTCTCTCTCTCTCTCTCTCTCTCTCTCTCTCTCTCTCTCTCACTCTCCCTTTGTTTCTTTCCTATCTTCTCCTGACGCTCTTCCTTCGTTTCTCAAAAAGGGGTTGTGGCTCCTGGTCTGTGAGGGTGTGGTTGTGTAAAGGTTGTGGCTCCTGGTCTGTGAGGGCGTGGTTGTGTAAAGGTTGTGGCTCCTGGTCTGTGAGGGCGTGGTTGTGTAAGGGTTGTGGCTCCTGGTCTGTGAGGGCGTGGTTGTGTAAGGGTTGTGGCTCCTGGTCTGTGAGGGCGTGGTTGTGTAAAGGTTGTGGCTCCTGGTCTGTGAGGGCGTGGTTGTGTAAGGGTTGTGGCTCCTGGTCTGTGAGGGCGTGGTTGTGTAAGGGTTGTGGCTCCTGGTCTGTGAGGGCGTGGTTGTGTAAAGGTTGTGGCTCCTGGTCTGTGAGGGCGTGGTTGTGTAAGGGTTGTGGCTCCTGGTCTGTGAGGGCGTGGTTGTGTAAGGGTTGTGGCTCCTGGTCTGTGAGGGCGTGGTTGTGTAAAGGTTGTGGCTCCTGGTCTGTGAGGGCGTGGTTGTGTAAGGGTTGTGGCTCCTGGTCTGTGAGGGCGTGGTTGTGTAAGGGTTGTGGCTCCTGGTCTGTGAGGGCGTGGTTGTGTAAGGGTTGTGGCTCCTGGTCTGTGAGGGCGTGGTTGTGTAAAGGTTGTGGCTCCTGGTCTGTGAGGGCGTGGTTGTGTAAGGGTTGTGGCTCCTGGTCTGTGAGGGCGTGGTTGTGTAAGGGTTGTGGCTCCTGGTCTGTGAGGGCGTGGTTGTGTAAAGGTTGTGGCTCCTGGTCTGTGAGGGCGTGGTTGTGTAAGGGTTGTGGCTCCTGGTCTGTGAGGGCGTGGTTGTGTAAGGGTTGTGGCTCCTGGTCTGTGAGGGCGTGGTTGTGTAAAGGTTGTGGCTCCTGGTCTGTGAGGGCGTGGTTGTGTAAGGGTTGTGGCCCTGGTCTGTGAGGGCGTGGTTGTGTAAGGGTTGTGGCTCCTGGTCTGTGAGGGCGTGGTTGTGTAAGGGTTGTGGCTCCTGGTCTGTGAGGGCGTGGTTGTGTAAGGGTTGTGGCTCCTGGTCTGTGAGGGCGTGGTTGTGTAAGGGTTGTGGCTCCTGGTCTGTGAGGGCGTGGTTGTGTAAGGGTTGTGGCCCTGGGGAGGGAGGTATACCAGGCAGGAGCCATGTGTTTGAAGGGGATGTAAGGGTAGTGGAGAGAGGCTGGCTGGCCTAAGAGTGAGAGAGAGAGAGAGAGAGAGAGAGACAGACAGACAGACAGACAGAGAAAGAGAGAGAGAAGCAGATTGACAGTCAGACAGTAGGGATATATATATATATATATATATATATATATATATATATATATATATATATATATATATATATATATATATATATATATATGGGTATATAGTAAATATAGAGGGGACAAACTGCAAAAGAACAGGCTACGATTAGACAGGAAAGCCAATTATAAAATATGAATTGAAGACCGCACAATCCTGCAATATATTCTACCATACCGGACAACTATTTTAGACAAACCTTTGCAAATCACTCGCGAATATTTAGGCTAATAAATATATATATATATATATATTTGTTCGCAACGAAGAGATGTTTGATTAAAATGTCAGTGAACCAGACGCTAGAGAGAGTGCGCTTTTTATCAATGACTTTTTGCAACCGCTGTAGTCAGTATTCCAGCTGTCTCCAAATTGATTGGACCATTCAGAGAGAGGCAGATCAGAGCTGCACTAATCAGAGGGGTAGCAGATGCCCTCCGTGGAGACGCTTATAGAGACAAGGTGACTCTGATGGGTGTAGGCACACGCGGGGGATGAGGTAATAGAGCCAATTGATGATCTCTGATTGGAGGTCGGTGGACGTGGGCTTAGGCTCTTTTCGTTCATGTATTCCTGGTGGAGTTGATCAGTCTGGTGTCACAGGATGGTGGACATGGTGAGTGGGGTGAGAGGGCCCACGAAGGTAACTGCTGCCTCCTCTACTTCAAAGATACTTAGTTCATACCCAGCTTACGGGCTATTCGTGCCCGTGCCACCTCTTGGGTGGCTTAATCTTCATCAATCATACCCAACACGACACACACACACACACACACACACACACACACACACACACACACACACACACACACACACACACACACACACACACACACACACACACACACCAGAGATAAAGAAAGTGACAGCGTTTTGGTCCGTTTTGGAGCCTTATATCAAGTCACATCCAGGATGAGTGGTTGTTGTTGTTGTTGTTTTAGATTTAGCGACTCTTTAGATGCTCTTGTACTCAGGTTCGAATCCTCGTCACGGCCCTTGTGGATTTGTTATACTTGATCCTGCCTCGCAAGAACTTCAATATTTTGTCTACCGAGTAACCCTCCTGCCTGCCTATTCACACAAAAATATAATCAGAAAGTAATATAATTATCGTATTCTTAATTTTCATGCATTTCATATCAAAATGAAAGTTTAAAAATCTCATTAAATCCACTCAAATGCTTGGTCCACATAAAGCTTTAAGAGTGTATGTTATCCAGCTTACACGAACATCTTTCTGCTTACAGAAATATAATATATTCATTTTATTCACAATTTCAGTACATTGGTCACACCTATTGTTGTCCTTAATTACCATCATCAAGCAGTCATTAGTAGGGAGGGTCTCATGAATATAGCTATATAGTCGTAATGGCTTGGCGCTTACCCCTAAAAATTCAATTCAAATTCATGAATATAGCGATACAATAATTCACGTTGTTTTGGGGCAATAAATTTAATATGAAGGTTCGCCCATATTACTCGCCGGTTAAAGAGTGGATAAGCCTCCTCTACTCTAGGAACTATATATATGGGAGCAGAACATTATACACGTGTTTACTGTTCATCATTAAAAAAAACCTTCAACATTACAAATCCGCCTGAGAACATCAAATGCACAAGAATATTAGTAAGGTGAAATAAAGACAAGGTCTTTAAATAAAGGCAACGTCAATATACTCTGGCAAATGTATCAAGTAGCTAACACGTATTTTACACAAATAATGACCAAAAACATTTTCACACTTCCTTTGCATTATTTCCTTTCTAAAGGTAACACATAAGATAGCCAATGACTTATGGTGCACATTTAGTCTCCCTATTCCACCGTATTTCTTACCTATACTAGTGTAGTCCCTTTAATTGGTTGGTATCTTCCATACCATACATATCTAGAAATAGTTTTGTCAATCTTCATAGCAATGTTCTTATCAGTTGGAAAACTTTGAGACAAATATCACAATTTAGACAAAATTTTACAATTATTACAGCCTTCTAAAACAGTGTTAATTTTCATTTTGACACCATATTCATAGCTACTATTATATTCCTACATAGGACTTGCTAATTCGTAACCAAAGTTGTTCCATATGTTTGACACCAGCAAACCCTAAGAGCCCTCATAGACTCCACTACCTTGACCCATGAACCTATCCAGGTAACTTTATTACACCAACCGCCAAGCCCCATCATACACGTTTTGTTCTTGTTAATGACAACACCTGTTGACCTCTCGAAGTTGTCCAACTCATCCTGAACATTCACCACTGAGTCTTCTGTCGACACAAAAATAGTGATATCGTCTGCATAACCAACAACAGGAAGTGTCATAGCATTAGGAAGACGAGGTGGAACAATAAACATTGTATTGCCAAGTACAGTGGCTCTTGAAATATAACATTCAAAACCATTGATAGGGGACATCCCTGACGTACCGACCGTTCAATTGAAAATAGTTTGCTCAAGACACTATTGATACACACGCTGCTCCGACACTGATTATAAAGCATACGGATCCAAATCAATAATTCTTGTGCCACTTCTACTCACTCCAATATTTCTAATACAAACTGAACATCATCACGGTCTAAAGCTTTCGACCAGTCGAGGTTTTCATGGAGGAAGGAATATTATTCTCAGACACAACATACAACATCTCTAATCACATTATTACAATTGATTATGGATCTTCCAGTCACACCACAAAGCCTTTTCCTTGCATATAGCTTTATCTATTACAAGCTTAAGTCTATTCGCCAACAATTTCGAAATTATTTTGTAATCCTGATTGAGCAAGGAAAAGGGCCTTTAATAGTTCGTTAGAACATGTAAATCACCTGTTTGCCCCTTTGGAGGGATGCCCCTTTTCATGAAATGGTAAATAAGTACCTGGAAGTTAGATAATTGTTGTGGCTTACATGCCGAGCAAAGCCAGCCTTGCTCGGCATGCAACCTTGCAACCGGTGCAACCTTTTTACCTTGACCTTGTTCGGCAAACAACCCACAAAAAGTCTGTCATACAACTTAAAAAGCCTGACAGACTTTCCATCCCCCAGCAGGGTGATGCTGGGGGATGGAAAGAGTCTTTAATGCCACAGGCAATCAAATTCGTCATTGAAGTCCCTTGTTCCAATGCCTGATGACTGCATGTTAACGAATACTTTCCGCAGCAACAGTTGTGTGAACAATGGGGGGAAGCCGACAACAGGTGTGTGATCAATGCGGCGGCCGACAACAGGTGTGTGATGAATTCGACCCGAAAACGCGAGTATACGAAGCCCCTTCATCCAAACATGTGTATGCTGAAGCCCATTGAATCAAATACGGCATGTGTGTGTGTGTGTGTGTGTGTGTGTGTGTGTGTGTGTGTGTGTGTGTGTGTGTGTGTGTGTTTGTGTGTGTGTGTGTGTGTGTGTGTGGCGAGACCTTTGATCCAAACACAGGAGCAGTTAACTCAAGGCAGACAACCCAGCGAGATGAAACACTTGAATAAAAATAGAATGAAGAGAAGATGTATTAAATGAGGTATAGAGCAACTCTTCTTCCTTCACCTTCCTTCTCTTGCCTCCCTTTATATCCCTCCACCTCCTCTTCCTTCTCTTCCTTCTCTTCCTCCTCCTCCTCCTCCTACCCCCCCCCCCCCCCCCCCCCTACCCCTTATGCTTGCTGCCGCTGACAGAGATAAACACAAGTTTGGTGATGACTTCTAAGTGTTTAATAATGGATGTTCCCCACAAGTGTAATTGCTGTTCTGGTGAGACAGTGACGATGATGAGAGAGAGAGAGAGAGAGAGGGAGAGCTGGAGAGAGAATGGGAAGGGAGGGAGAACGGGAGGGAGAGGGGAAGAGGAGAAGATACATATGTATGTTCATTAAAAGATCAAATAACATGTTTCGTGGACTCCACAGCTTGGCACCTGTAACTGGACAGCCATCTACCCCACCTTCCATAAACCCATCACCCTATCCCTCTCCCTCCACCCTATCCCTCTCCCTCCACCCTATCCCTCTCCCTCCACCCTATCCCTTTCCCTCCTGGTTGATACCTGGTTGATCCCTCCCTCCACCCTATCCCTCTCCCTCCACCCTATCCCTTTCCCTCCTGGTTGATACCTGGTTGATCCCTCCCTCCACCCTATCCCTCTCCCTCCATCCTATCCCTCTCCCTCCACCCTATCCCTCTCCCTCTCCAATTCTCCAGGAAGAGTGACAACATGATATTACGAAGTCTGCTTTGTTAACGTGTGGGATTACCTCTGACTCTTCCCTTGCACCTTCTCTCTCACCCCTCTCCCACCTCTCTCTCTCTCTCTCTCTCTCTCTCTCTCTCTCTCTCTCTCTCTCTCTCTCTCTCTCTCTCTCTCTCTCTCTCTCTCTCTCTCTCTCTCTCTCTCAGTTGGGAATAATCTTGCAGATCTCTTTAGGAAAATCTTTTATTCTGTGAAGGCAAAATTAGCGAAGGAATTAAAAAATATTAACTCAAAATGTTGGAGGAGGTGGGGTAGGGGGGAGGGAGGAAGGGTAAGGGAGAAGGTAAGGGAGAAAGGGTAGAGAGGAAAGGTAAGGAGGAAAGAACTGAGTGAAATAAGAATTTGAAGTGGAATGAAGCTATAGGATTGAAATCAATGAAAAGCAAAAACTGAAGTAAAGAAGGAGATGCCGGGAGGGATAATGGATGGAAGGGGAAAAGTTAAGGTGTAGAAGGAAGGATGGAATGGGGGAAGAGAGAAGTGTGAGAAGGAAAGAAGGAAGGGAGGTGACGAGAGAGAAAAAAAAAGAATGGAAGATGGGCATCATGTTATAGCCCCAAGTCACGTGATAATGAGGTACACCAAGGACC